AAAAGTTTCCAAAGTGAAAAGTTTCCTAAAATGAAAGTTTCCTATTGTAGAAATCGGTTTCCTAATTTGGAAGTTAGTTTTAAATTTGGAAATGAAGATCCTTAAAGGAATGGAGTTTCCTAATTTAGGTTAAAGGATATTTTTGGAAAATTATTTCTTAATATGGACCTCATCAAAATAATCTAAGAATATTTATTTTTATAGTCCGAATAAATTAATTGGACTAAAATAATTTTGGCCCATTAGGTTTAATTAAAAGCCTTAAGATAATTTTGATGGGAGGATAAACATCAATCTTATTGGATAATAATGAATTATTTAAAGATAAATATCAAGTAGTCCACATATAAAATAACTCCTTATCCTTGGAGGAAAAGGAAGCAACAACTTAGAGTCCTTTATGGACTCAAGCACGCCACTTTCCTTATCCTTGGAGGACAAGGAAACTCTCCCTCTATAAATAAAAGGAGAGGGGCAGCAAAAAAGGAAGATATAGACTAATAGAGAATTTTGGTATAAAAAAAAGAAAAAAAGGTAGGGAAAAATTTAGCTGACTTACAAACAAAAAAGGACATACGGCCGGGAAAGAAAAAGGGAGAAAATAGTTTTCTCTTAAAACCCTAGAAAGAAATTCTCATACCCTCTCCTTTAAAGTTATCATAAAGTTGCCCAAGATTGATTTCTATAAAAATACTTAACCAAAAAAGGTGGAGCTAGCACCCCATCAATTTTAAGTGCTTCTTTGTGGATATTTAGGCTACATGGATCATCAATAGAGGTCGAACACTTTGACGACTAATCAACGAAAAGAATTTAGATCCGCGCTACAAGAGGTAATCCTTTACTTTTATCTTATTATTCATATATGTATGATTAGTATATTCAACGGTATGATCTTGGGACCCTTAAATAGAGAAAAATTTTTATTTATTCCACACCTCTATAGGATGTATGATCCTTCAAAAATCATAAAACTTTAGGGACCAACATGAATTTTATAGGGGAGGGTGTGTAGGGGGTGTTGTGGTCCCTTCCCGCCCCCAAGTTAGCTCAAGCTCGATCACAAATAAAAATAGACGTCTTTCGTATGATAAACGAGTGAATTGGATCCTTACTTATTTATCATATGATCTTATCTTGTTTAATTTATGAGGTAAAAGTCCAATTATATTATTTTTTTAGACTACTCTTAACTTTGCAATCAATGTATATTACGGACCTTAACGACCTAAAACTTTCATAATGCAACAAACTAATGGTGATTTTTGCTTCAAACATGATAATGTATGTATATATGCAGTTTTCAATTTTTTCCTTGTTGTTATAATCTTTTACTATGTTTATAGAGGTCGATGGATAACGGAAGGTGGTCATCCCCTTGTCTCATAGACCTCCTACTTTCAAATTTCTAACTTTTATGGGTTTTGTAATCAACCCTCTAAAATTGAAATTGCATGGTCAACTAAGAGATATGTTATTAGTATTAGTAGAAGTTTCAATATTTATAATCCTCATTCTTACAAGATATAATATAAAAATAATTAATAGTTATTAACTTTATACGAGAGAGAAGGAGTATAATTCGAACAATTCCTTAATTTACAAATATCATTTTTTTTTTTTTGGTTGGAAAAAGTAGGGGTGTTCATTTGGTTATTCGAGTTTGGTTTCGAAATATTTCGAGCGATTTTTGGTTAATCAAATTTTTAAAAAACAATAACCGAAGTCGAACCAAAATGTTTTTTCATTTTTTGGTTCGATTTCGATGTTCGATAATTTAGTTTTTATTTGTTTTATTTTCTTTTATTTTCTTCACTTTAATTTGGTTAATTTTATATAAGAAGAAAGCTTTAGCAAAGGTCGAATGCTTAATAATCACCACCAATTATTCTTCACAAACCATTAGTTATAGTTTCTATAACTCCAGCAGACTAGAAAATAGAATAACACTACTAGATGAGGTAAATTAGCAAAATAGGAATTAGATATGTAAAACCAATAAAACTGAAGCTATAATTCATACTAACACTATCATTAACATTGTAACACAATGCACATTCCTTAAGCGATACAAGCCCATTGCCAAAGATGAGCTTAAAAACATGACCATACTACCGCAAGTCATAAAATGGTTATTCATTCATATTCTCAAAAAAGAAAAAAGCCAATAATATTCTAACAATGAAACATTATGCAAGCTTCTAAAAAATTGAAACATTATGCACGTTCATGCACCATATTCTATAGTGTAATTTTTTTTTTTTACAAAGCATAGTTATAAATATAGTAATATCTACCAAGAAAATGTTGGCCTAGCCTCACCGACCTAAATCATAAAGATTGAAAGAGAGATCCAACCAATAAGACATATAATAAATTTTAAGGTAGAAAAGTAGTGGTAGTGGAGATCATAATAGGATATTATTTGTCAAAACTCAAACTTACAAAATAACCATATGACTTAAGGAACAACCGAGCAAAACTTTAAAATCAAGTTGAACTATTTGACGAGTCTCCTACCGGATCGTATAGAACCTTATTAACACCAATGTTGTAGTGCATGTACGGGGTCAAAGACTCAAAATAGTAATGTATATAAAAGCAACAATTCAACGCTTCTAAATTCGTACTAAACTAGTAAATCATGAATCGGGAATATATAAGAAATTTTATCAAATTCAATTTAATAGTTTAATTAAAAAACAATTCAACAAAACTAGTACTATAGAATATGATAGTCATCTCCTAGATTCAACTATAAGCTCTTTCTCTCTTGCTCTTAAAGGTATACAAATTGAGTGCATAATCCAAATCAAATTATACAATTTCTTGATTTAACGAGTTTTATTATTTTTTGATGTAGAGTGTTAGAAAAAGAGATCTACATCCGAAGCAATTACAACGAAATTGGTTAGGTCCGGACCTACATCACTAGATCTTAACAATGTGGTTACATTTTCCAATTGTCGGTACTCACAAAATGCTTTCAAAATGCAAAAAAACTAAAAATATAAGAAAAAAACAAAAGCATTTAGATTCACTTGATAATTATTTGGGTAAGCATGACTCACCATGAAATGGAAGTCTTGAATCTTGAAAGCTTGAGAGTCGAAGAAAAGCGGAAGGTTGAAAGAGGAGGGACCAAGGGATGCATCTTGAAATATTTGAGAGATTGTCGACTCGTGAAGAGGGAGGAGGTGGGCGATGGTTGAGGGTTGCCTAAGGATCTGCGTAGGAGAAAGAAGGTGGCTAAGTGAAGGAGGGCCACGGTTACACGCTTGCACTTATAGGAGGATTAGAGCTTAGAGTGGAGGAGGTTGAGGGTTTGCTATTTGGTCGAGATGGCCGGACGGATTTTTCAATTTGGGATTAGGAATAATGGATGTAGATAGTCAATGGTGATTTGGCTTTCCTAATATATATATATATATATATCGATTTAAAAAAAGAAAAGAAAAAGAAACCAAACCCAAACCCGAAAACTAAAACTATTTCGGTTCGGATTTTCTTAATTTTTTTTTAAAAAAATACTTATAGAAATTGATATTTTGATAGATTCGGTTTGATTATTCGAGTTTCATCGAATAGTGAACACCTAAAAAAAAAAACCATAGCTATACAATGAGACCACCAAAGAACAGAGAGAAACTATAGCTATAGCCCCACCTTCCATGTTAAAGCCGAACCAACCCCAAGCCAAAAAGGGTATAGCGATAAATTGATTAGATTGTACAAGCCACAAAAGCTCTTGCAAACGAAGGGATCTATTGAGAAATTTTAAAATACTCAAAGAAAGTAATCAGTGGCATGTATAATAGTTACTTCTTTGAGCTTACTTTGAGGAGAGAGATGGATATATAAAAAACGAAAGAATTACATCCGGATCTACTAAAAGTGATAAGAAAATTTTCACGTTCATTTATTTTTTAAAAAAAATTTCTCTCTCCTATTTTTTTTCTTTTTATGTATAGCAATAAATTGACCAGATTGTACAAGTCACAAAAGCTCTTGCAAACGAAGGGATCTATTGAGAAATTTTAAAATACTTAAAAAGTAACTAATGATATATATAGTAGTTACTTCTTTGGACTTACTTTGAGAAGAGAGATGAGCACATAAAAAAATAATAATTACATCCGGATCCACTAAAAGTGATAAAAAAATTTTCACGTTCATTCAATTTTTAAAAAAATTTTCTCTCTCCTATTTTTTCTTTTTATGTATCTATTTTTTATGTATCTATCTTTTTTTTAAAATAAACTCATAAAAGTAATTACTATACATATCACTAATTACTTCTTGATTATTATAAAATTTATCAAAATTCATCATAAGATTCTATTGTCTCCTCTCCTCTCCTTTCCATAAGACTCGTTCTACTTCTCCATTTCTCTCCTTCCATAACTTCCCTTCTCCCTCTCTTTCAAACATATATACTCTGATATAGAGAGAGAGAGAGCAAATGATTATTACTTAAAAAAAGGAAAGAGTGTAGATGTGTGATCTTATCAGTTTTTTTCAGTTATTTTTGTTTTAATAATTTGAGAAATACATTTTTTGTCTCGGAGGGTTGAATCATTGAGACTCTCTCTTTTGCAGCTAATGTAATTGAAGCCGAAAGCTGCTGCTGCTGCTGCACTCTACATATATATTCATTATATATAGCAGAGATCTATTGCCATAAAACACTCCTACGGACCGACGTAAGGTATCCAATGCTAATGCGTGGTTATAATTCTTTTAGATCTGATTTGGTATTTTTGGTCCACATTTTCCACCACTTCTCTGTCATTCCCGATAAATCTTATCTTGTGCACTGAAACCAAACAAACGATGTTTCTAATCCTTGAATTGAAGGAGCAAATATATATATATATATATATATATATATATATATATTGAAATTGTCTCGGGAGTTGTTTTGTTTGCTTCAATTGTCGAAAAGGAGTTATTATCGTTTGTCATTTCAAGTAAGTTTTAAAATTTGTAACTGATTCTTGATGGAAGTCAGATGTGGCGGTGGTGATGGTGGTGGTCGCAAGAAAACAACGCTATTGGAGCATATGTCAGCAATTGAAAAAAGTGGTAGCAGAGACTCACTAGCAGGAGGCATGGAAAAACGGCCAGCTCATATAAATCGAACACTTCTGGATATAATTCGGTATGAAGAATCCGGCGGCTCATTATTTGGACACAAAGACAAAAAGAGCTGGAAAGCTTTCAGAGACCGCCTCCGTTTAAAGCGTGCCGGTTCTGCTTGGACATCTTTGGTTCATATCCCTGCCTCAGATATCCCTATCCCCAGGGAAAACAGGTTTCCCAATTCTAATTTCAATAATAATTCCTCCAGGTCTTTGATTACCCGTCGCAATTCCGTGCGTTTCACTACTGTGTCGTCGATTATATCGCCTGAGTCGGAGGAATTGGATGATAACTCGGGGATGAATTCTACTTCGAGACCGCAAATGACTCGCCGGAGTTCAACTCGGTATGGTTCAGCTACGCTGCAGGTTGAGTCCGAGACAACTCAGTCTGGTGACTTGGATGTCAACATTCACGCGGTGGAAGATGGCCCGCCTTCTCGGAGTTTTAGACCGCAAATCTCGCGGCATAATTCATCTCGGTTTCCGGTTGCCGAGTCGGATGAGAATGATTTAGAGTCGTCGGCACGTGAGGGAACGAGACAGCTGGGTACTGCATTGGCAGAGGAGAGACTGTTGTCAGCGAGGGAGGCAGTGGCAGCCCAGGAGGCTGCAGAAGCAGCTGCACAGGCTGAAGCCGAACAAGAGGCAGGGGAAGGGGCGATGCCAGGGAATGCGGGGGCGCAGGAGCCAGTGAGAATGTCATTAATGGATTTGTTAGAGGAGACAGATAGGCAGATGGGGTTTGAGGGGTCTAGATATACAATGGGGGATTATGAGGAATGTGATGATGAGGAGGAGGAGAACGGTGGTGAGGATGGTGATGGTGGTGCTGGTATAGAGTATACTTGCTGCGTGTGCATGGTTAGGCATAAAGGTGCAGCTTTTATTCCTTGTGGGCATACATTTTGCAGGTTGTGTTCAAGAGAGCTTTGGGTTCAAAGGGGTAATTGCCCTCTATGCAATGGTTTTATCTTGGAAATTCTTGATATTTTTTGAGGATTGAAGACAAATTTACGTAAACATCTTAGTCTCCTCCCCCTCTTGATCTGTCTTGTTGAGCTTGGAAATGGTAAATAAAATATTATATGATTCGGAGCTTCCAGGTTTCAACACAAGATTGAAAAAAGGAGTTGCTGGTGACTGCTAGCTTTGGCATTTTTTCCAGTAAAGTGTTTTTGTATTTTGCAGAAAGTAAAAGAAAAACAGTGACAGGCTATGCCGAATTTTGGTGTATATGCTTGTTAGTGTAGTCTAATCTCAACCTGTGTTTAACCATAGGCATGCATAACAGGATGGGGCTTGTTAATCATCACACATAAGTAATTAAAGAGTTGTGTTCCTTTTCCTTTTTCCTTTTAAAAATCCCTCTCTTAATAGTAATGATGTCTTGTGATGTTGATATCATGCACAACAGGTTATGGAATGATTGTTCATCACCTTTTATGGCGGAAGTGGAATCCAATTGTGTTGTGTTGAGAGTTGTACCCATTTTTCCCAATGGGCTGTTTTTTTTTTTTTTTTTTTTTTTTTTTTTGCGCAGCAGAGAATAACCAAAGGAAAGATGCTAGTGCCATAAAGAACGCAAGCACAAACTAGTGCCACGTCTCGTAAAGCATCATACGGTGCAAGTTTAAATATTTAGATTGCTTCTTGGCGACACCGGAGTAATTGGCTAGGTAGTTAATGGATTTTCTAAATTCAAATCTTGAAAACGCAAAACTGATTTCCTTAGTAGCCACGAGCGAAATAGGAGCATCTTAAGCTGCGGAAACGGGGTTGTGGGTTAGTATTTAGATGAATTCGTTCATCTAATCTGATGTAAATATGGATATACTAAACCAGGAGTGTATCTTTTAAGATACTGTTACAGTTAGTTTAGTGTTTTGTAAAATGATATTGCACGTCTTTCTTACCATTAATTATTGATGAAAGCTTCCATCCCATCAACAAATTCTTAAAAAATCAGGCGGGACAGACGCTGTCTTGCATTTGCACACAACCAGATATCTCCATGTGACCTCAAACCTTTTAATTCATGAGTCATTTTAATCCAAAGGAAGACAAATACAATGGTACTAGCCTGCAGGCATTATCCATATATTTACTGGATCAATCCATGTTTTGGCCAGTATAAATGTAATTGGAAATTAAACTTATGGATGGGCCATAAATTGCTGCCTCTCGATGCACTACTATTCAATGCAACCATGCTTAATGGATTGATTCTTTTGCCAATTCTCCAACATTAAACATTTGATGTAGACATCCTAAAATTAATTATCGGTGCAAGTTCTATGTATATGTACAAGCTGAATGGAGCCCACTTGCTTGGCTCTTTCCTTCTTATCTTCCTGGCCATTAAGCCAAACACACTTTTGGCACCAAATACCAACATGGAGTTGCCGATTGTTTTATGTATTTGTTCATGGAATCTTACAACTAGATTTCTGGAATGTGTTCATGATCTCTTCCAGTTTCTTGCCAATAAAACACAGTTATAAACTTTCAATCATCAAATGACCCTGCACCAATAAACCCACTTTATCAGTTGTAGACAGCTCCGGCCTGTTTCCATCGTAGCACAGTATAAAGGTTGTTTGTAACCAACCACATAGCTAACACCGATTGAAAACTACGCTTCAAATTGGTCATTATATATGTAAAATATAATTAACTAGGTATTGTGCTGTGTGAAGCATCAACACCATGGCCGTCCTTAATTTGTTTAAGTTATTATTTTTTTTCTAGTTTTAAACAAACTGTTCAAGTGAGTCTAATACACAAAAAAGAACAGGAGTTTGTGCAATATGTGCTCATTCAAATACACGTGTACTTTTGATTTCTTCCAATCATAATTATATAAAAAAAAACACATAAGCAAAAGATCTTATGATTGGGTACATACCATTGACACTGCATTAGATAATGACATGAAGAAAATACGACATACAATCAGTCCAGGAATAACAATATTAAAATTATACATATATTCTATGGTAAATGTATTCTCTAACCCAATTGAGATTAAATTTTTTCCAGATCATCTTAGATATACAATTCTATATCGGTTTAATATATTCAAAAAAAAAAATTAATAAATTCATTTTAATGTTAACCCATGTTCGAATCCAAGAAATTAAGAAAGCGAGAAATCCTCCTCAATCTCCGGTAGGGGTGAGCATTCGGTTAAACGGTTCGGTTAAGCATAATTCGGTTCGGTTTTCGGTTAACCAAAGTAGAAAAAATAAAAACCGAAACCGAACAAAAATTAATTCGGTTAATTCGGTTTTTAACCAAATTATTTCGGTTCGGTTTTGAAATAATTCGGTTTAACCGAATTTTTTCATTACTTCTCTATTTCGCATTTTAGACAGCTTCTCCCAAAACTTTCATTTATTTTTTCTTTGCCTAAGCCGAGTAATTAGCAATGCCGAGCTAACAAGTAACCACTTTCTTTTCTAAAAAGAATTCAACACCAAAAAAAAAATTCACAATTAAAGTCAAATTTAAACACCCAACAATCCAACATGTTTAACATTCATATATCGAAAAGGAAATAAGTCATGCAAAATAATTGTTGATGAAACAAAGATCCATATACAATACAATTGACATTAAACAACAAAAGCATGGTAGAATGTCTATTCTCATTTCTCAACAAAGAGGACAAGACACGAGCTCTCTTCTTGTCCTAAAACAAATGATTTCGTGCATTTGCAATACCTTCACTCCTTCGAGATCCGCAATAAAATGAAATCCCAACAAACACTCAAACTCAATGCTCCCGAAAGAGGATATTAACATGCTACGAAAATCAAAGGCAGTAGGCCTACCGCCCATCGCTGGTAGGCAGAGACACCAAGGCAGTAAGCCTACTTGCCCACTGCTGTAGGCCTACCGAGTAGGCCTGCTGGCCACAGCAGTAGGCCTACTGGCGGCGGCCAGTAGGCCTACTGGCCACAGCATTAGGCCAACTGCTGTGGCCAGTAGGCCTACTCAGGTGGGCAGTAGGCCCACTGGCCACCGCCAGTGGGCATAAGGCGATAGGCTACTACCTAGTACCTACTATGGTTCTCTTCTCTAGTTCAATGAAAATGAAAATTTACAATTCCCACTTACCGACTAAACTTGCACAAACAACGAAATAAAAAATTAAACTTAGAAAGTAGAAACTTAGTAACTTACACATACCATTCATCACGTCAAAACATCATCAAGTCATGAACCCATCAAGATTCAACCATTTGTAATAGAGGTAGTGGCAAGTGGTAACTCTGAAAATATAAGATAAAAAAATTAAACTTTTAATATTAATATAAAGGAAAGAAATAACAAATGAAAAGGTAAGAGTTATAGAAATTACCATCTTGCATTTTCTCAACATCTTACAAATTTTCTTCAATAATAATTGGTGTCGATGAATTTTTAATCCAATCTTGAGCACATATAAGAGATTCCACTAAGCTAGGAGTCAAAGAACTCCTAAAGTAGTCAAGAACCCTTCCTCCAGTGCTAAATGTCGATTCCGAGGAAACAAGTAGAAACAGAACCGCCAATATATCCCTAGCCATTTGTGAAAGGATGGGAAACCGAGGAGAATTGGTTTTCCACCATTCTAAAATCTTAAAATCAGCACTATTATTTTCAGCACCTTCACAAAGATATTTATCCAACTCCGTTTTATTTCCTCCACCTCCAATATCACACTTGTATTTTTCAAAATGCATCATTATCTCTCTTTTTATTCTAATTTCTTCTTCATCAATCATTTCTTCATTTGCACAACCCACATCTATTTCCCGACTCCCACTACCTTGGCCAATTTCACCTTGAGATGTTGATGAACGACAATAGAAATCATACATAGCATACATAGATTCCTTGACAATATTTGACATTCTTTGACCCTCCAAATCACCATACAATTCATTGATTGAAAATTCAATAAATACAAGTTTATGCCTAGGATCAAGTATTGTCGCAATATAAATCAACTTATTCATTTTCTTAATATCCCCCCAATACTTCTCAAACTTTTCTTTCATTTTATTGGCCAATGTAAAATCATCTAAATCCCCACTTCATTGCCATTTTTTCAAAACATGTTCGAGAGCATAAATCTCTTCAAAATAAATATTTGAAGTCACATACAAAGAACCCGAAACACGCAAAGTGAGATTGTAAAACATTTTCAACATGCCTACCAACTTCTTACAAGACTTCCAATCATCAACATTAGGTGGCCCAACAACATTATCACCATGATCTACATCAAATTCACTCCTATATAAAGGATCAATTTGCTCATATCTCTTAAAAGCTCTCTCAAACTTTAGAGCCGACTCTAACATCAAGTATGTTGAATTCCACCTAGTAGCAACATCTAGTTGTAACAAACTCCTAGAATCAATTTTCTCAAGTTGTATGCATTCCTTAAATCTTTTCAACCTAGTCGAAGATTGCCTCATAAACCTAACGGCCGATCGAATACGAACGATTGAAGGATTAAAATGTTTTAACCCATCAACAACAACTAGATTCAAAGTATGTGCCATACACCTCATATGAATGAATTCACCATCTAAGATGCTATAACCCCAATTCTTAATCACATCTTTTAAGTGCCTAATTGCCACATCATTCGAACTCGCATTATCAACCGTAACACTAAAAACCTTCTCAATTCCCCAATCAATCAAGCATTTCTCAATGGCAATACCTAAATCTACTCCCTTATGACTATCAATCGGACAAAAATTCAAGATCTTTTTATGCAACTTCCAATCATTATCAATAAAATGAGCCGTTAAACACATGTAATTGATTCTTTGAATAGATGTCCATGTGTCCGTAGTAAGGCTAATTATTTGACTATTTTGTTTTAAAAATTGCTTCAAATTTATTTTCTCATCTAGATAAATTTGATAGCAATCTCTTGAAATTGTAAAACGAGATGGAATCTTGAATCTAGGTTGCAAATTAGACAAGAACTTTTT